CCATGTGTTACTTCTGCCTGATGACAAGATATCAGCAAAGACAAACTAAAAATCAAGGCCTATGACTTCTCTCCTTTGTCTTCCCTATGTGCATTTTCCTGTGCTCCCTCAATTTATTTGTGTGTGTTTCCGTGCACATAACTTAGGTACCTTTTGTCTCAAAACTTCTTAAAACCACAACTGGTATTTGAACATGCCCGAACCTGCTTTTCGTTCACTCATTCTTTCTGAAGGCTGTTTTCCTATGTCTTAAAGCCCTTCCGCTTCTACTGTGGTGAAACAGCACAAAAGCAATCCCATCATACAATGGGAGTAGTAGTTTATTACCCCTTCCCCTCTCCCTTAAGTGCCAATTATCTTTTTAGACCTTTCTGCATTTAAGTGAAGGAATAGGAAACAAGTGTACCCATTATAGGAACCCAGGAAGAGCTGCAGGTTGTCTTGGTTGATATCTTGGGCAATATGCAGTCTGTAGGTCTGAATCAGGTCCAGGTTGGCCTGCAACTCTTCCTAAACAATTGGAAGAAGACATAGGTAAATTTCTGAGCCATAGCACAAGTCCAACTTTTTTCCTTTTTGAGACATGGTCTCACTCTGTCACGCAGGTTGGAAGCACAGTGCCATGATCATAGCTTATTGCAGCCTCAAACCCCTAGGCTCAAGGGATTCTCTTGCCTCAAGCCTCCCAAGTAGCTGGGATTACAGGTGGTTTGCATTTTCAATGTCAAAAGCCAAACCTTGCTGCCCATGATGGGAAATAGGGCACAGCCTGGGGGCTAGTGATGTACTGGCCTGCTGAATGACTAAAACCTTTTTTATTTGCACCAGACTGGTTCGGTGGGCATATTCTGTATCAGATGAGGGTACCAAAGAACCTATTATGGATTGGAGTACTAGCTGTGGAACTTAGGTCAACTAACCATTCTGAACCATAGTTTCCTTATTTGGATAGGTTTTTATTTTCTTATTCTTTTTTATTTTTTAGAGATGGGGGTCTCACTGTGTTACCAAGGCTGGACTTAAACTCAGAGAGTCTCTGGGTCCAAAAAATCTGAAGGACCATCGTAGCTTGGGGTCTTATAACTAGAAGGCTCTATCTTATCAATGGCCAGCAGATGTGAGGTGAAGCTTTGCAGGATATGCAAAGCAGGAGGGCTCTAAATGGCCAAAATATACTTGTTTGGGCTACTTTAAAAAGAATTCGATGTGTAAAAATTTAATTTTGGTGCTGGAGGGCTTTTGAGCTAATGGTCTGTAGTGAAGACATAACCTAGGAGCCAATCCACAGAGGCCATCGTTACCTCATTTATACTAGTTACCAAACCAGTCCAGACCGAAGTGAGGGAGAATGCCATGGGAGAGAATTCTTCAATAAGATGAAAATAACAGAATACCTGATGTACTTGACTATACTGAACAAGGAGATTTATATTAA